TCAGCTGAAGATCTGCACTCCAGACACAGAAGTTAATTGGCAGCTAGCTTCTTCACAATAGTTTAAAAGATTTTAAAACCCAAAGGGATTAGCATGATCGACAGATTTGACCTTCCTTATACAAGAGGCCAGAAAATGTCATGCAGTAAATCCTACATCAAATCTCAAAACTTCAGAGCTAAAGTAGAATACATATTCAGCTAAGTATCCAGACCCAGCTTCCAAGATGTAAAGATATGAAGTGTTCATTGGCAGCCTTTAAAAACTGATCTACCTGCTTTTATTGATAATGGTTGCCTACTAGGTTGCTCAAGGAGGTTGTGGATGCCCCATCCCTGGAGGCATTCAAGGCCAGGCTGGATGTGGCTCTGTGCAGCCTAGTGGTTGGTGACCCTGTACATACCAGGGGCTGTTGAACTAGATGATCATTGTTGGCCTGGGTTGAAAAGGACCTTCTATGATTCTATGACTCTATAACCCAGTTTCAGTAGCCCTTTCTTCGACAGAAGTAGCCACTGCCATTAATTCCTGGCTTCCTATTACACTCTTTTTTTTTTCTGTTATTATTTTAAAGAAATAAAAATGAAATTGTAATTTCAAAAGAGAAATAATAATGCCATCAAACTAAAATTAAAAAAAATAAAAGAAAAAAAAAAACTCCACAGTGCTTATTATATGATTTTAGAGAAATTCTGATTGAAACGCTTTGAGAGAATTGTTGAGAGATATTTATATTAATATATTCATTAAGCACAGAATGCACTACTCATTGATTTAATCACCTTTCATAAACTAACCGCTATTGCTATTCTTTGTCATCTTCTCTGCTTAGAGAGTATTCAGTGACATAACATTATTTGTTTTGCACAGCGTCCATCATTGCATTCAAAGGAAAAATGTAACATTAGCTAAACAAGCAGCCCAGGAGAACTTGTGAAACTCTTCAGGTTTCCTGCATACACAATCACTCAAATCACTCACTAAAATGTATTAGGAATAAAACTGCTTTCTTCAACCTCCTCCCTTGCAGACAATCTGCAAATTTTCTAGCAGCTGCACTGAAGCCATTCAACTGGTGCCTAAAGTGAGCAACATATAGTAGCCCCAGGCGCCCACCATGTCCATGGTACTGCCTGCGATACGAGAAAAATCCCTATTTTCCTCTTTTTAATTAGTTCTTGAAGGAAGCCTCTTGCTGGCTTCTCCCTTGTATGCTGAGCTGCTTGCTCCCTGCCAGGCTGATGAGATCTTGTAACTAGATCCTCCCTTGCAGTCTAATGCTACCAAATGCAGACAGGGAACCAATGCTGTACTCAAGTAACCATAAATCAGGATTCACTGATGTGATAATTTAGGAGCTTGCATTTTCAAAAGCATGTGTACAGGAATTGCTTATACAAACAAACAAAATAGAATTATAGAATCATAGAATCACGAGGTTGGAAAAGACCTATAAGATCATCCAGTCCAACCATCTCCTCATCACCATTGTCACCACTAGCACTAAACCATATCACGCAGTACGTCATCCAGATGCCTCTTGAACACTGCCAGGGATAGTGACTCCACCACCTCCCTGGGCAGCCATTCGAGTGCCTGTCCACTCTCTGAGAGAAAAAGTTTTTCCTTATGTCTAATCTAAACCTCCTCTGATACAACTTGCGGCCATTACCCCATGTCCTGCTCATTGCCTGGGAGAAGAGGCCAAATCCCTCTTCACCACAGCCTCCCTTCAGGAAGTTGTAGAGTGCAATGAGGTCTCCCCTGAGCCTCCTCTTCTCCACACTGAACAATCCCAGCTCCCTCAGCTGCTCCTCATAAGACTTGTGCTCCAGACCCCTCACCAGTTTCGTTGCCCTTCTCTGGACACACTCCAGGACCTCAACATCTTCCCTGTAGTGAGGGACCCAAAACTGAACACAGTACTTGAGGTACAGCCTCACCAGTGCTGAGTAGAGGGGGATGATCACCTCCCTGCTCCTGCTGGCCATGCTATTTCTAATGCAGGCCAGGATGCCATTGGCCCTCCTGGCCACCTGGGCACACTGTTGGCTCAGGTTCAGCTGAGCATCAACCAACACCCCCAGGTCCTTCTCTTCTTCACACTCATCCAGCCACTCATCCCCATATAATAATAATAATAATAATAATAATGCAATGCAAAAACAGTTGTGCATCTTTAAAAAGTGTAAGCAGGAACTCCCACCTAGCAAAACACTTACCAAGCAAATAAAATAAATGCAGCAATTTGAAAAACAGCAATAACAATGTTTGGCAACTAAGTGGATGTTTGCTTATGGAAATACTATAGACAAGTATCAGCCCTGCCACCCACTGCCTTCTTTTCCAAAGAAAAAGAATTTCATGGTCGTATATCATCATATTATAGAGAGCTCTCTGCAGCCTTTTTATTGATTCAAATGCAAGCAATTGCTGACAGGTTTGGTGGAGCATAGAGACCCAGTGCTTGCATCTACAGATGCAAGAGTAGAAGCTTCTCCACATGCACCTCAGGAAGACATGCTTTGAGGTTTTTTTTTTTAAGTTTTGAAAAAAAAATCTATCATAATAAGAAAACAACAAAAAATAAATTCCATAAATGTCTCAAGTTCAGTACTTTCAGAAGGAAGTCTGTAACCATTAGCTATACTGTATAATACTGGAGTATATTGATGAAGTGGGAAGGCAAAGTGAGAGGGAAAGCATTCTGATAATAAAATTAAAAAGAAAACAAATCAAATACATTATCTTCACGCATCCAAAGTGGGAAATCAGTAATTTTCTTTCGTAACTAAATATATATATATATATATTATGGAGTAACATCAGTAGAGGAAAATATGAGAGAGCACTTCTTCTTACTTCACATTTTCTCCTATCGGAGTGAATATAGTTATTACACAAGTTTCTCTAGAGGGGATGGTTACCTTGTGAGAGTGATGCTCACATAGAGGCAGCCCAACTGAGAGTCCTACAGCTGTGGAGGTGAAACCACCTGCCTGAGTTTTATTGCACAGCTTTTTGTTTGTGGTTTGGTGACTTCTGCTGTCATTGCTTACCGCAATTTACAAAAGTAAATAACACTTTTTAATAAACATTAAAATTAATTTAGTTTTAAAAAGTAGTTGCTGAGAAGCACATGAATTTCATGAATTCAACTGTTGATTTATATTTAAAATGTATTTTATTAAGTTATTTAGTGAATTGTTGAATAAAGGCTAATTATTTATGATTTGTGAAATAATTCCAGCTCCTGAACTAACCATTCCACACTGAAGAGCCAAGACACCTTTACATAACTATGAACTGACAGCTAGCAAAATACAGTGCTTTACATTAATGGGAAAAATTATGTTTCTTTTTCTCATTTATAGCAACAAATTTAGAATACAAATGATGTACTAGATGCAGAGAGGATCTAAGGTAGATGCAGAAGGAAAACCTGTGAAAGAAGACAGTCTGGCGAAGTCTCACACACAGGGTGAACCCAAAGTGAGAGATGGAGAGTTTCCAATGTGCTAAATTTCATAGAAATGATTCTTTGGTTGGTGAATCACCAAATTAGGTGACTGTTGAGTGGTCCCACTATGGGATCTTAATGAATAATCAGCAACTTCATTTCAAGAAATTTTACACAAAAACACATCAGACAAGCATAGCCATGACCAATGAGCATCTGCTTTCACACTGCCAGTGCAGCTAGGAGTTGGAAATCCAAGCAGTACAATCATTACAGACCTATTCCTGAAGGTCTACTTTTCTCTTGGAGCACAAGGAAATATCATTTAATGAAACATAAGGAACTCCCATTCACCTGAACTACACATTCATGAACAGAGTCAGTCGGAAATATAAGTCATTATTTTCACAGATCCAGCAGAAATCTGGATCACTGCACCATAACAAAGCATGTGTGGAGGGAGCAGTGGCAGAAGGTCAGGGAGAAAACACAGTCCATTATATGTTAATGGCTATAAGAGGACAGTGTAATGCATTTGGTTTTGGTCCAAGATAGAAGCAAGTAACGTAACATCAAGTCAGGAAAAAGGTACACATTTACTTTCATATTTCATTGAGCTTCTTACTTGAAAACTTTGCATCTCAGAGTCTTTCCTGATGTGCCCCTACTAGAAGCAATATGTCTGTAAATGCACACTTTTTCTGTAGCTTATAAGATGATTTATTTTAAGAAATCTGTTTGCTGGCAATAGGTTTTCTTTTCTGTTCATAAACAATTGACAGTATTCTGATGTACTTTTTCATTAATCTGGGCTACAAATATAGGATTTCTAAAGTTCTTCTAACATCCTTCTATTATTTCTTCTGTTTCCAAAGTTTTCATCTTCTCTCCAGAGAGATGAATTACTCTTAAACTGCAGCATACAATACAGATAAAATACAGAAGAGTAACTGATGCGATTTAAGGTAGAAAGCCAGTGAATCTTACAGAAACATAAGGAGCTGTACACCAATACCTGAAATTAAATATAAACTATTTTTTCCCTGCTGAAAGTTTGTGAATGGTTTTTCCTCTCTGTCAGACACAGTTCTTCCTAATCCTCAGATCAGAAAAAAAAAAGCTTAAATGGCAATAGCAGCAAATGTCCAACAAAGGAGGACTGATGAATATTTTTTACTGCCTCTGCGTATTTACGCAGATAAAAACACTCCATAAGTATTTGTGTAACCAAAAGCATACATGCTCGAAGTGTTGCAATAAAATAAACAAGTGCCAATACTGTTGAATCAAACAGTTCTTAAAATAACTGTTTTCAAAAGAAACTTGAAAATGTCACCACAAGTTTTACTGATGTTCTCTGTCAATGGTACTGGCAATTAAACACAAGGGGAAAAACAGCTCCTTCACGCCTTTGACTGAATACAATATTTAATATAAGAGAAAATGCAGCTGCAGGAATATGGCACAGTTATGTAGCTGTTCAACAATCTCCTTTATAACCATTATTAATAAACAACTAAAAATATGAATTATGACTCACCAAAATTCATCTGGTTATGTGGCATCTGCATTGCATCCAACAGATTCAGTAACAGAAGAGACTGAGAACAAAAAATAAAAAAGAAACTTTTACGACATGGAAAATTCAATATTTCACCACTTATTTTCATCCAAGATGGGGGAGTAAAGCTATCTGAAACTCCTCCATTTGTCTGAAAGAAAACAGTTGGGCCTTTGCACCTCAGCAGGACTCTGGGCTCCGCCATCTTGTGGGGAACTGCAGGCCTTGGCCATGCTAGCATGAGGAAACCCTCCGTTCTGAGGGCTACTGATGCTGAAAGTTGGCTTTTGTAAATAAATAACCTTGGCTAACCAAAAATAAATAAATAATTGCGGAAATAAAGGCTAAGCATAAACTGTTCCTTCCTATTTTCTATTAGTTCTTTCAGTTAAATAAAAACACTCCTGAAGAAGTCTGAAGTTAAAATAGCAAAAAGTATTACAGAGAAAAATACAAACTGCATTTCAGTGGACTTAAACTAACATTTTGGCAATGTGAATTTGCTCCAGAATGTTAGCATGTTTGTTCAAATGGCTTTCCACAGCTGCTTCCTGAAAAAATTGGATAGAAGCAGGGAGATGAGGGATATAAGACACTGCAGAACATTAGGAAGAGAGCAACATTAGGACCAGAGACTGCAAAGTAGAGACTGCACCCACAACCTTTCATTTAGACCTAACTAGCCAAATAGTCCAGTATTTTCAGTGTCATTTCTAGATTGAAAGGAAAAATATCACCAAACTGTAAGCACCCACACTATGAAAAACTATTTCAAGACCTCCAGAAAATGCAAAGGCTGCACCAAAAGTAATGTCCTCGTAATTTATTATATTGGCCCATGACGTCAGAGGCGGATATTGGTGATACAGCAGTAAAGGCTAAATCTTCCAAGTGATAATCTATTACATTTTGTTGTCATGTGACAGATGGCAGGGGAAATCTGATGAAATGGTATCTGACATAGCAGTGAGGGTGAAGCAAAGGTGTGTCATTAAATTCCTCCAAGTGGAAACAATGACAACCATAGACATTCATCAATGTTTTCTGAATGTTGGTAGAGACCACACAGTGGATGTGAGCACAGAGAGCCAGTGGGTGGTGTGTTTCAGCAGTGGCAACAGTAATGCAATATGACAGAGAAGCTGGAATGGACAGATAAATAGATTTTTTTTTTTGAGAAGTCCAGCATGCAGGTTCTTGTTCATCACTGAAAATGCATAGTTAACAATTGTGTTTAGTTGAGAAATAGTGTTTTGTAGCTAAGAATTTGCTCTATCAAATAGTACTATTGTGCTTTTTGTATCTGTTGTAGTTTCCATGGAAAGAAATAGGAGGCATTAGTTTCAGAGCCACCTACATTATTTAACGAAATGACAGCCACTCGCAGGATCAGGATCTCCTTGACACAGGCCACTAGAATATATGGTCAAAACCCTACTGCATGAGTTGACTAGAATTTACTTTTACAGTATAATCAGTATTATTTTTCCTCCCTCACACACATTCTTTGTCAGAGCTTTCCAATAGTTTTCTTACAAACATAACTACAATGCTGACTGTTTCTTTTCTTTTAATAAAGCTGACCTAGCCTTATGCAAGATATCTGCCTAACAAGTGTTAGCTCTCTAATCCCAGCAAGTATTTTATATATGCCTGATCATCTTCTAAATACACACTGTTGTTTTCACAAAGCAGAGAGATGCAGTAATAGACATCTCAGTTCTTCCCCTACAAACTTTCAATTTGTCCCTTCCTTTCCATATTATCTCAGTTGACAAAGTAGGAATCAAACATTTATTTAACTTCTCTCTTGTTTTTCCTGTCCTCCATGAGAAAGCATGCAGCATGCCATACACTCACTAGATTGCAGACTTTAGAAATTGAAAAGTCTTCAGGTTTGACAGAAATGAGGATGAAGCGAGAAACTGTGCCTGCAGTTCTCTGAGGCAGTTACCTGGGCTGTGACTTCTGCCATTGGGACAAAGCACATTTCCCTTCATGATTTTGCTTTCAAGGTCTCCCACCACTTCTTTTTTTTTTTTTTTTTTTTTTTTTTTCCCTCAGCAGGTAACCTTCTCAGGACACCATGGGTTTCTGCCTCATGTTTCTGTTCCTTTTTCAAGGAGATTTTCTGAAGTTCTCTGCCAAAAACAACAACAAAAAGTCAGTCTTTCAGATGTGATAAGGAATAGGAATATAGCTAAATTGGGCAAATTAGGTAGAATTTGGATAGAAACATCCAAATCTCCACTCATTTAACTTCTACAATTTCTAGCAGTTTTCTGATCACTTTCACCAAATACCTGCAGGCAGAAATGTTCACATTTTCCAACTCCTTTTTAACTGAAAACAGCAGAAACAACAAACAAGTTGGGAAAAAAACTTCAACAGTCAATCTTCTTTCATTTCCTCATTGTTAGAACAGGCGCAGTCCATTTTGGAAACTCCCATGTTTATTCCGTTCTGTAGAATAGCAAGAACTTCTCATGTTGAATATTAAACAGACTACAGTGCATATATCATTAGCTGTATTGCCCTCTGTTTTGTTTTTTTTTTTTTATATATATAATTTTTTTTTTTGGAGTAGCTCTATTACAAGCTAGCTTTGTGTCTGTCTAATGGAAAAGTTTCCTTTACTTGCAGTTAAATACAGAAAAGAGCAGTGTTTTTCTGCCTTAGCAACTTCCATAGGCTCAGCAGTTAAAAAAAGCCTAAAGCTGCTTTTGCTTTTTTTCTTTTTCTAATAGCTATAAAAATAACTCTAAATCTCCTGAACATGCACCATTTGACCTACTGAGCTTATTAATTTAGTGGAGCAAGGCCTCAAATAAGAAGTCAACAGATATTTAGATGAAGTATTGATGATGTGTAGGCAACAAGCTAAAATTCTAAGGAAAATGTTGCTTTAGAAAAATTTAATTCCTTCTTTGCTTCAGTTTTCTCACAGGGATCTCTGAAAAATCTCCTTTGAACTACTTCATGATTTTCTATGTCTCTTTAAAGCATGTCAGGGGAATGAGCTGTAAGTAAATAAATGAAATGAGTCGTAAATAAGTGTATGAACACCTCTAACATAGAGCTTTTCAGAATATCAACATATTTTTACTGAGGGAGGTCACACAACATCATCAGTGGAAGAATTTTACTACTGTAATTAATGAGAAGAACCTATTCACCAACATTGAACAGTTATCAGCTTTATTACTCATAGGGCTGCTTTAAACAGCATCTCTTGAGCTTCACTCAACTACCACAGCTCCATGGAGTCATATAGGAATCTTAGTTCTATCTTCATGCAGTTTCACTTCTGACTACTACTACTACTAATCATAATAATTTACAAAAATCCAATTCTCAGAAGTTTAAGGAATTTGTCTTGTCTGTAAGTGGCATTGTAGGTGTTTGACTGTCCTAAGGACCACTACAAAATAACCATTTGATGGTGCACCTTCTCACAGCTGTAGACCTGGATGACACGGTTTGAAAATATTTTAATGCTAAGCTTCATAACAAACACCCAACCTTCTACACTGTCTCAACATGAGGTAGAAATACCAATGAGCGAATATCAACGAGGTAGAAATACCAATGAGTGAATATTTTTTTAATTAACTCTATTTTAATCCTGATATCACACTGATCCTTGAGGAAATCTTTTATATTGACTTCAACAGCAGCTTTAGAACACGAGCACCTATTCATGTTTTTAATGAAATTGAGAGATAATGACTGCAGTTTTTCATGAATTGAGGTTCCCTTTTAAAAACAGTAGTAGAGATTAGCATTCTTTTTATTTTATTTTTTCTCCAGGATTATACAGCTTTTTACAATGAAATTTAATGAAGTACGCTTTTATTACAGGTACTTCCTATAATATATTTCAATGGAAGTAAATACGAGCCAGCAAAGTTGCTCATGTAAGCATTTGGGATTTAAGGAATTACTTAAACAGTGAACACATAAAGTTATTAACCTTCTTAGGGAATTAAAATGTGCCACTACAGGATGAATGAAAATCAGTAATCATTTCAAACTTAAAGGATTGATTCTGTACACGCAATTGAAACATAATTAAAAAATTACCCTATTGTGTTGCTTCTACATAAAATTTGAATAGACTTTAGACTGGTACCTTTGCAACAGCTTATTTCTGGTAAATTTATAAATCAGTTGCATCTTTGTAATGGCACCAACTCAGCAAGATTATATTATAGTACTTATCTTCGAGTAAAGTAACAGTCTAGTGAAATTAGATATGTTTTGGTTTTATTCCTTTGCAATATTCTGATAAATGGAGGCCATTATTAGGATTACTGTGAATAAAGTAAAATTTTGGTCATGCACAGCATAAACACAGTAGCAGCAAAAAATCTATAGATATGAAAATTAATACCAGACTAATCTGCATACAAATTATCTGCGTATGTCAGGTATTTAATAGCAATTTATGGATAATAAAAAAGGCTGAGAAAGTTTATAACTTTTTTTTTATCTCAAGTCACAGGAATGTTCTCTTTTGAAAGCAGCTGGAAATTTGAAAGCACAGGATTAAACATAATATTGAAAAGATACAAGAATTACCAGATATTACCAGCCCTTTCTGGTATCCTTTTGGTGTGTCACAGATTTGCCCCCATTGATTCATTTTCCATCACTATCATGCTTATCTTATTAGTGCTAATCTGTCATTGTCATTTAGGAACTCAGGAGATCACTCCTGACCACTAGATAATATCTAAACGTAATTACCATGCTATCTACCAGATTTTATGTGTTCTTTTTTTTTTTTTTTTTTTTTTTTTTTTTTTTTTTTTTTTTTTTTTTTTTAAGATTGTACTGATTTGCTTGGCTCCTGTGTCTTCCAGACATTCATAATAATGCCATTATAAGTTGTTTGCGTGCAATTTAAGTAAGACCACACAGATACTACATATTTTTGCTATCTGCATGGAGTTGTTTAACAGCTCCTACGCAAGGGATTACTGAGCATAATGATAAAAAAAAAAAATGTAACTGCCCTCTAGCTGTATTCAAACAACAGTTCATTTGCAGCTGCTTCACAATTGAAATGTAAAAAAGTTTAGTTGAGAAGTAAAGTTCAGATCTATTTCAGAAACACTTGACCCAACTGGGAAGGGAAATCTGAGCATTCTCTCTTTAAGATGCTACATCTTTTTTTTTTCTTTTTTTTTCTATTATAAATTTAAAATAAAGAAATAAGTATAACTATAGTGATAATTCATTTGTAATTTCAGTTTGACAGGGCTGAAGAAAAGCAAAGCAACACTGCAGAGTAGTAACGCTTAGGCCAAACTAAATTCCCAGCCCTAAATTCCCACTACTTTTGTGCCCTGTTTCTGAGTGTGTCCTATAGTATACTATTAAAAGGATGCAGGATTAGGGCTCTGTGAAAAAGTTTCCCTTTTCATCCCAGTGCTGCTATTTCCTAATCTAGAAATGATTCCCTCTTTATAAAGCCAGGGGACTGTCATTAAAAGAACCAACGCTTTACCTGTGGTCCATCTGCTCTGCATTTAGTAACTAATATAGAAACATGGCTAAAAACAAAAATACAAAAAAATCACCAGAACCAAAAACAGCAACAGAAGGAAGAAAACATCATAAAGAAGAAAAAAAACCTCCCAACTGGTCATTGTATCCCTCACCTGTCTGCTGAGCACACATCAAAACATTTCCCCATACTATGGGTAATTACATTTCACAAATAATCTAATTTGCACGTTTGGGTTTGTCTTGTACTGGCAACTAATTTTTTATGAATCACTGTTCATATATGCTGTCAGAACACTGCCTCATTTTTTGTGCAGCCCCATATAATCTAGTGACAACAGCAATATAGCTGTAAAGTCATAAAATGGTGGTGATTTTGTATAATAAAACCAGCATAGGTTATTTTCTAGTTACAGTGGTTAAGTTACTCTTTTTAATGGAAAATTGTCATCTCAAAATGTAGAGTGGTAGGTCAAGTGTTCAGATTGCTATTCCTTGAGCCAAGTACAAGCAGAGAGCTCAGGAAGATTGGACTGCTATCAAACATCTTAGTTAAATACAAGAAATATCATATGTACACACTTGCACACAAACCCGAGGTTTCATTCATTTGATTACATCTGTGTTGCACAGAATTTGTTTCCCCTTTGAATTCATGGAAATATCAGGATTTAACAAATCCTCTAATATGAGTTCAAGAACCTGAATTCAATACACATAACAGATACAAAAATGAAACTTCAGCACATCAAAAACTAGAAATAAAAAATGCATACTTTCATAAGGAATACAGAAGAGACTGAGCACAACTTACTAAGTCATGAAATAGAAGCCACTGGTACCTGGCATAAAACAGATCATGCAGCTAATAACAACTGATCTAAAAAAATCTCTTACCAGCAATCAAATCCAGAAACAGACTTTATAAGAGTAATAGCAACCATGTCTGGATATTGCATGGTTAATGTGTAAAGCATAATTTACTTGTTAGCAGTAATTGGACTTGGGACAGTGCACCTTGCTCACTGCCATCACTGAGATTCCCTATGGTCTACAGCTAGCAAAAGGTAATTTTTTTCTTTAGCTGATAAGACAACCACTAATCGCCTGGGGTTAGGAAGCAACTATCCTTATGGATAAATGATTCCAAGCTGTTCAATGTAAACATAATTAACACAGAATGGTAGCCACCACATCAACCACAGATAAGTTGGTCAAATACTACAATGAAAACACTTAATCCTTCCATTTCCTTATTTCATTCTGTATGCTGATAAGTCACGTCCAGCAGGGCAAATGATACATCTAGACTTACACCGAACCTATGACTGGGCACACCAGAACCATAACTTTCCATGAGGAATGTGACAGCATCAAAGACCAGTTTACTGGCTGTATGGGAACTGCTGAATCACAGCCTGAACCTCTGATTGACAATCTGAGGCAAGCAATGAGTCAGCCACAGGAGCACAGGTGAAGGTAAATCAACTGTGCTACTGGAAAGGGTGAAGCCTGGCTCCACCTCTCCTAAATCCCATTTAAGTGTTGACTGCCACTGAGGAAGGATCTCTTCCTGGAGATTGCTCCTTGCGGAGAATATTGTGAACCTACGTCAGTAAGCATTTTCCATTTATTGTCTTCCTGTTACAATAATCTTACTTAGTCTGACTTTCCTGGATATTTTTTAATTATAACATCAGTATATTCATTGATTATACACTGGCTCACACAGGCCTGGCAGGATGGCATGGGTGCACAACAGAGCTGCTGTCCTTCTGGGAAGCCCTGGAAAGTCAGCGGTGGAAAGAAGCCACAATGCAGGGCTTGCAACAGGAGATGGACAGGAATGTTTGACTTCTAACTCACAGGACAGAGTGCTGGCTTTCCAAATATCCTCTTTTCACTTCTGCCTCCTTTTTCTAAAGGCTTTTTGCTTTCTTATTAACTTCCTTAGCACTATTTCTCAGTTTTTAATCCTTTTCTCTGAAGTGTGATACCTCACTTATATGAAACATTTCCAGCCCAAACACTGTGAACTTCTCACACTTTTCTTCTTACTTTGACATTGAACTTCCAAAGTATGTCCAATGAGCTATAACAGAAATAAATAGTCAAAGACTTTCCTAGTAAGTTCACAGAACTACACTCCCCTTGCATCTCTTCAACTATTGCGCTTCAATTGCTTGTTTGCACAGGCTCCAGCCATCCAAAAGGCACTTGAAAACCACCTCTTGGCAGAGGCAGACACAGAACACCATGCCAGGTTGACAGGGGTGCCCTTTGGAGGCTTTACAGCGAGTAGCTGGGATGAAGATTAAGCTGACAACTTCGTTCATATTTTGACGTGAGTGAAGTGCTTTGCTTTTCTCTAAAACCAAAAGGGACACTCAAATCCTGTCTAAATGTTTAGCTCACTTCTCTGTGATTCCCATTTTTAGGACTACACCCTTCTTCTCCTTAATGTACATGTAAGCAAAACCTCTATATCTGCTACCTCAGCTCAGAATAAGTCACTTGTATATTTACTCAATACTTACATTTTGTAAAAGGAAAAATAGAGAAGGAGGACCTGCTTATTGTATCTGCTTATTGTTGAAATCCATTTGCAGAGACCAGTGACGATTTGGGGTTTCTCCTCTTGGTGCTGTGTCTTCTGAGAAGGCAATAGAAAAATAAAGTAACAGAATTGTAGAATGGACTGGGTTGGAAGAGACCTTAATGGTTTTTTGGTTTCAGTTCCCTTGCGGTTGGTAAGGCTGCCAGCTACTAAAATCAGGCATCAAATCAGGCTGCCCAAGGTCTTGTTTAACCTGGCCTTGAACACCTCCAGGGATGATGCATCCACAGCTTCTGTGGGCAACCCATACCAGGGCCTCACTACCCTCTGAGTGAAAAATTTCCCCATAACATCTAATCTATATCTTCCCTCTTTTAGTTCAAAACCAGTCACCTTTATCCTGTCACTATCAGATTGTGTAAAAAAGTTGGTCTCCCTCCTGTTTATGAGCTCCTCTTAAGTACTGGAAGGCCACAATGAAGTCTCCCTAGAGCCTTTTCTTCTCCATGGTAAACAAGCCCAGCTCCATCAATCCTCCTTCACAGCAGAAGTGTTCCACCTCAATGATCTTAGTGACCCTCCTCTAGACCTCTTCCAACAGCTCAGCATCCTTCTTGTGCTGGGTGACCCAGGCCTGGATGCAGTACTTCAGACAGGGCCTTGCAAGGGCAGAGTACAGGAGGGCAATCACCTCCTTCTCCCTCCTGTAATCTCTCTTTTGATGCAGCCCAGGATGCAGTTGGCCTTCCAGACTGCAAGAACACACTGCTGGTTCATGTCCAGCTTTTCGTACACTAGGACCCCCAGCTCCTTCTCAGCAGGGTCACTCTCAACAATCTCTTCTAGTCTGTACTCATATCTGGGATGTCTCCAACCCAAGTGTAATACCTTCCACTTGGCCTTGTAGAAACTCATTAGGTTCATGTGGGCCCACTTCTCAAGCTTGTTCAGGTCTCTCTGGATGGCATCCTCTCCTTCTATTGTGTCAATTGCACCAGTCAGCTTGGTGTCAACAGCAAGCTTGCTGAAGGTGCACTCAATTCCATCATCTGTGTCACTGTTGAGGAGCACCAGTCCCAAGACTGATCTCTGGGAGATCACTTATAACTGGCCTCCACCTGAACATAGAGTCACTACAACAACACTCCAGCTGTGACCATCCAACAGATTTTTTTATCCATCGAATATTCTAACCTTTAGATCCACCTGTGTCCAATTTCGAGATAAGTACATGGTGTGAGACCATGTCAAAAGCCTTGCAGAAGTCCAGGTAAATTACATCAGTTGCTCTTTGTTTGTCCACTGATGCTGTCATTCAATAGTAGAAGGCCACCAGATGGGTGAGGCACTATCTGCCCTTGGTGAAGTCATGCTATCTCATATCACCTCCTTGTCTTGCACGTGCCTTAGCTTCCAGGAGGATCCATTCCATGATCTTCCAAGGCACAGTGGCAAGGCTCATCAGCCTACAGTTCCTCAGGTCTTTCTTTCTCCATTTCTTAGTAATGGGAGTGATGATTCCCTTTTTCCAGTCACCATGAACTTTTCCCAACAGTCAAGACTTTTCAAATATGATGCAGAGCTTCTTGGCAGCCACATCAGCCAATTCCTTCAGGATTCTGAGACACATGTCATCTGCTCCATAGACCTGTACACATTCAGCCTCTTGAGGTGATCTCAGACTTATTCTCCTCTTCCAGAAAAAGAATGGCTTTTCTCCCCTGTCCTATGCCTAAAGAGATGTAGGAAGACTGCCAGTGAAGATTGAGGCAAAAAACTTGTTGAAGACCTCAGTCTACTCCATATCTGTTGTAGACAGTTTCCACTTCTCATTTATCAGAGGGAGGATACACTCTCCTTGGTCTGTCTCTTCTTGACTAATGTATCTATAGAATCACTTCCTGTTATTTTTCTCATCCATCACCAAATTCCACACCTTGACTTTCCTGATCCCATCTCTGCATGCCCTGTATTCTTCCCAGGCCACATATCCCCGTTTCCAGTGCCTTTCCATGTTCCTCTTTTCCCACAGGTTTTTAACCAGCAGGTCTTTCTTCAGCAATGCTGATTTTCTGCCTCCTCTGCTTGATTCCTATGCTGATGGACAGAGAGCTCTTGTGCTTTCAGAAAAGCATCCTTAAAGAACTTCCTACTCTGCACCTTTATCTCTAAAGGCAATCTCAATAATTCCTTAAACAGCCAAAAATTTCGCTACAAGTTCAAAGTCCTGATTTCATTTTTTGCCAGGCCCATATTCCTCAAGATCACAAACTCTACCAGGGCACAGTCACTACATCTCAAATTGCCTCCAACCTTAACCTCTTTAACAAGCTCCTCTTAATTGGTGAACACTAGGTCTAGGAACACTTCTTCTCTGGTCATTTTATCAATAGCCGGATCAGGAGGTCTCAACACACTCCAGGAGTCTACTGGATTTCCCAGCAAACAGACAAGTGGTTGAATTTCCCCATCAAGATGAAAGTCTGAAAGCACAACACTTCCTGTAGCCAAAGCAAGAAGGCTTCACCCATAGGCTCTCCTGGTCAGGCAGCCTGTAGTAGACCTTGATCACCCAACATCCTTTGTTAATTTGGTCCCTGATTTTTACCAACAGGTTCTTGACTTGATCATGGCTGTACCTGAGAGAGCTTCACTGAATATCTCATGGGTTGCACAGGGAAGTCTCACCAACACATAGTACTGGGCTGTAGTCATGATCTGGCACACAAGTAAAATTCAAGGACAGCCTTCCCAAACCTCTCAATTACAGTCCAGGCAGGCCAAGCTTCAGGAGCATTAGTGTACACTCATGTAGCACAGTATTGCAGTCAGGGAGCTGCTCTAGTATAGGTCCTAGAAAAAGTGTGTTTTAGCACAGTATTACATTCAATTAAGTGGTTCCGCTTTTTAACAAATAACCTCAAGAGTTTGTTCTAAATCCACTGCTAAGGCTCTACTGGTTGAAAAGAAGAGGAATTATAAATTATAAACACGAATCTGTAATAATACGAACACAAATCTATTGGTGAGATTATAATATCAGCCTGCATATGAGTTTCATATGCAACAGCTCAAGGAAGGAGACAGTGAACTGCAGGATATGGGTGGATTTTAAATTCTCTACTAACCTAGTACCAGGGTGAAAAAGGGCTGCTGAAACAAATACTTAGGTCTTCAAAAGATGTTCTCAGAATATCTCACTCTAAAGTACGTGGTGAAAACTTGTGCCCCATATTGAAGAAAGCTGGGTTCTGTTTGAGAACCCAGAGAGAGAAGCAGCTGTACCTGAGTCAGAAAAGAACAAAAGGCCCCCATGCTGATAGACTGGCTTTAGACACGTGAAAAGAGTATTTCCCTGAAACTGGGAAATTAAGGACTGAAAAAAAGTATAGAAAGAAACTTTTTTGTTTTGTGTTGTTTTAGGAGGTTGTTTTAGTAATGTACATTTTGCAAGCACCCAAAATTGTTTCTTTACATTCATTTGGTCTTCTTGCGTGTAATTAACTACTACTAGAAATAAAATCCACAAGGATGAAAAAGTATTAACATGAATAAATGCAATTATTATTTTTTTTCTTCTCTCATATCACACACTTTCAATTGGAGGGGAAGGTTTCAGTCTATCTGCGTGCTGCTAATAGAAAGCTCTTTTGCTGTCTGGTCTAGTGCCAGTGCAGTCGCAAAGCACAAGCAACTCATGCCCCAAAACCATCTCTATCTTATAGGGCAGGAATAGCATAAGAAAGTCATATGGAAATCATACACTGAGATCACCTTCCATTCAGCAGTTACCTTCACGCTATGTAGATCTGCTCTTGGCTATCTAGGCGCTGAAAGAAAAGAAAGAAAAAAAATAAGAAAAACAACCGCTTTCTGACCGAACACTAAGTAAATTTTAATTCCAATATTCCTATTCTCTGTACAGCAGTATGTCATTTCTTATATATGTCAGGGATTGGGTTCAACACATACTTCAGACTTTTGCCTGCAGTAGCAGGTAATACACAGACACAGCTCTTGGCCAAATCTTCCACAGTGAACAAATTTGACAGAGGAACCACTGATGCAGAATGAATGCAAATCAGGATGCCAGTTTATTTTCCAGTCAGTTCTGCACATAACTAGAATCTAATCCAGTTATGGTAAATATTCAAACTCTAGATGCAGCAGTAAAACATATGTAAATTGCCATTGTGATTATTTTTTTAAATAAACAAGATTCCAGCAAATCCATCTCATTTCATTATCCTCTGCTGCAGAAAAGAAAATTCAGTTGCCAAGAGCAAATTAAAAATAATACTGGTAATACATAGTTTACAAAGCCATTCTACATCTTAAAAAAAAATAAGGTCCCTGGATGCCATATTTTTGCACAGGCCACAAGCAACACATCTCTGCACAAAGTAGATTATCTGCTCACATAAACAAAACAAAAAAGAAAGTGTGCCACTTCAAATATGAGAACACCACTATTATTGCATTTTATAGTTTTAATGAAATTTTAGAGGGAATAAGTGATTACTATACAGAAGGTCTGTCCACTGTCAGTTGTCAGTTTACATAAATGCCTAGTAGGGAAGCCAGTATTAATGGCCTCAGCTTCTCTATAGCCTGGAGCTACATTTGGTTGTGAACAGAGAAGCTGTAATGCCAGGCTCTCTGCCCTGTTTGCCTGCCAGATTGTGATGCATCTTTCAGAGGAGTGCTGCAAACAGACACGAGTGCCTGCCTGATTCTGTTGTCAAGGTTCTTAAAAGCAAACTTGTTGACCAGAGAATGAAAGCTAAATGGTTGTCTAGCCAAAATTACACTATGCTGCTGAGGGCATTTTTAATACAGGAAGTGCTGAGAGCTCACTTTTGTATATATGCCCTTGCAGATTGAGTCAACTGTCAACACAGTTTATGCATTCAAATGGAAATATGGTACATGTACTAAATAAAGCCATATTAAGAACAATAGCTGTTTTTGTATTATTTTTCTAAGAAAAAAAAAAAAAAAATGCAGTTCAGTATAGGGAAAGACCAAATTCAGGAGTTTGCTTTATAAGGAATGTAATGGAAACAGCACAAAATATTTTACGCTAACAAAAGTTAGTGGCCATCTTATACCAAAACAAAAACAAAAACAAAAACAAAAACAAAAACCATGAGTTTTGAACTGAGAGTAATGAATTTTAAATTCTCTCAGCCTCTTATTTTTTTCCCCCAGCATTGTGTTAGAGAGGTAGAGAAAGTGAGGTGAAGTCTAGAAAACTAAATGCTTCTAAAAGGAAAGCAAGGACAGCACAGTGCAACTCCTGAGTAATTCTTGCAGAAAAAATCCTGTTATGCTGAAAACAAAAACACAGTTATGAAATTCTCAGTGCATATACAAAGCATTTATCTGATGCATTTTTCTTCATCTTCCTCACTTAAATCTTCTTCAATTCATATCCAAAAGAAGCCACAGGAAATATTCTCATTAGTTCCACTGCCCCTCCTCAGGCTCCTAACACTATCATTTCATTTAGGATCCTACAGTGCCTGCTGCTATCAACTATCACAAAATGATAACAGATTAGTTAATTTTCTGAAAATGAGAAATTAATCTGATAACAGATACCGCTAAATATATAAAACAAATAGCAACACTCACCTTTTTTAGCTGTATGTCTATCAGAAGCAGGATATACATCTTGGCAGGAAAGCTGCATGTCTGTTTTGAGAAGTGGTACCCAGATACAAAATTCGTGACCACTGCCTTTTGGACTATAGGTCAGCCTCCATGTTTGTATAGCAAACCTCATCTACTTTCAACAGTCACAAATTGAAAGGCTACAGGGTTTAAACCATTTCCCAGATATGATTTTCCTACCAGGCAACAACAACTGAGCAATAAACTCATAGCTGTAAACGTTTCTGAAAGCATCAAGTTCATGGCCAAAACCATAACTACAGTAGTATCAATTGATGTCCAAAATGCAATCTAGTTGCATGGTTCCTTTTAACATGGAACAATATCTTACATTGCAGGGTACTTACCAGCAGCCTCCAGGTTAAATAAGATGGCTTAAGGTCAGGTGGGATGGCTCTGAAAAGATCCGTTGAGTCAGCCTGAGATTTGTGGCCTCCTCTGAGCCTTCAGGGCTCTCAGATTTCATCCCCCTTCTATCGAACACTATCAGTATCACTTTAGACTGGATATTGAAATCACTTAGCTGCAATAAAGGAGTGCTACAGAATTGAATCCCATTTTGCTCAGCACTATCACTAAACTATTATCAGTGTGAAATGAAATCTAATGTCTCCCTTAGCAATCCCATCTTCTTTGTCCTCTTGTTTTTCTAGGAGTGTTATGATACACAAAATTCATTTATACACCCAATAGTACATGGACTGTACTACAGATTTCAAAACATATTCTCCAGATTTATGCAGCCACTGTGTCAGGTTGGTTTTCAACCATCATACACTCTGAGAAATCATTAATAAAAGTAGAAAGAGACAGTGCAAACACCTTAGATAAAAGACAAACTTACATAAAATGATTAGAAATGTGAAGCTGGTGAAGTTACTTTAGTAAAACAATTAATCTAATCTCCAGAGCACTCACAGTAGTGGCTTTATGGGAAGGCAGTGCAAATTCTCTGCTGCCATTCTACAATGTTAATTTAGATTTTTTCACACACTCTTAAAAGGAAGTAATCTCTGTTAGGTTGAATAAATAAGCCCAACACATCCACTCCCTCTCTCTTGCTAGCAGTTACTTTCCTTTTCCCTCATCTGATTCTTATTTGCTGAAATTTGGTTTACAGACAAGATACCTATAATGAAGGTATGGTTATCTGTGACCACATCTTCTTTTCCTTATTCAAAATCATATCATAATAGAAAAAAAAGAACATGTGACTGCATCTCTGCAGTTTCACCTGATGTCCTCATTAACAGAGTTCTAGGACAGTACAAACATACAGAAAATAGAAACAGTTGAAATTCAAATGCCTTGACTTTCATGGGGAAAACAAGACAATAGCTATGGGTTATGCTATCTGAGATGGATCTTTTTCTCAGTGCTGCTAAATAGTCCGATTTCCATAATCTTGTCTTTTTGCCATTTGTGATATCCCTTCTTTCTCTCTAATTACATCTTATATTCTGCAGTACTGGAAGTTTTACTGAAACAATGTACAAGGCAGGCAATGAATCTGCAGAACTAACTAATTAAAGGATGAATTTGCAGGGCAAGTGAGGATATAGCCTGCCCCAAGAAGGAGTTTTAGAGGAGGATTACTGTGTTGTCAACTATTGAGAACAGATGTACTTTATGGAGCTTGGGCAGCAAGCTCATCTGATAGCTCTTGGCCAAGTTAAGATGATGGCTAGTCAACAAAATACGATGTCCAAGAGGCTGTGAAACTAAACCCTCCAGAAATATGTCCAAAGAATAATCCAAGCATAAGGCAATACTGTACTAATAAATCAGCTTAGCCTCTTAACACTAACAGAATCAGATATGCGTATAATGATTCTGTTTAAAACATCTGAGGTGCTTGTCAAAGCTTTGTTATCGATATACATAATATACATAATTTTATTAAATAAAAAGAGATTGTCAGATTCCAGTTTTCATCAAATTTAGTAAATGCTTTTACTCTTTTTATTACTGAAGATAATTTCTTTAGATAGCTGCATGTCACAGTGTCTTCCTGGATAGCATTTTTAACTCCTCACGATTATTTCTGGAGTGCATTAGTTCCAATAATGTCATAAAGATAGGATCTAGCACAGTGGGGCTTTGACATAGCTTATCAGAGTTACAGCTTGCTATGCATATGATACCACACTGACTGGTAATAAAGTAAAAAATGATACATTAAAATAAAAGTCCTGGGAGGGAAATATGCAAAATGTCTCCACTGTTTACTTTGAGCAGTCAGTGAAAATGGTATATAAAATAAAGCACAAAATTAACAAATCGTAAGCTAACAATAAGTGCTGCCTAGTGTATATATATACACACACATATATATACTACTCAGAATAAAGAAGAATGAGTGTATTGTGTATTTCAAGGTAATTAACTGTTTCAGTAGTTGTGGAATCAGTATGTAGCTTTTCTTCATAAAACTTTCAAACTTAACACAAAATCAGTAGTGAAGCAGAATATCAAGCTATTGCTTGCATTAGGTAGCATCTTGCAGCTTAGAGTAAGAATAAAACTACCACAATTTATACTTATATTCAAGTTCCAAGTTCAGGATAAATAATAATAATATTTCTGTTCCTCCTCTTAAACCATACTTCTAGGGGAGTTGTTCTAATTTAAAGTGTTGGGTTTTTTTTTAATCTCTCTTTTATACAAAAACATTTTGGTGAAAAGCCCTTAAACAGTAATGCCCACCACTGCAAAAAAAGGTGGAAAACTCACTTAATGGAAAAATACTATTTTATGAGGTACAAAAGGCTACCTGAACACTAAAAACAATGGCTACTTATGTTCCCCAGTCAAGGCTCTTACTAATTGCACTGAATTGACTAGATGTATGGTAGACAACCAACTTATATAATTTGCAGATTATTCAAGTTATAACAACATCCTGATGTAGATAATATTTTTTTTCAGAAAATATTGCCTCTTAAATTAGCTTTTACATGTAAATATAGAACAAGACTATTAGGATGGCTATTAGACCATAGCAAGGGATGTTCATGATTTATCTCTTAATTTTTTCCCCACTACCGTAGCATAGCAATACAATTCCCTTTTCAACCACAAACCATGTTCATGACATAATACTGTGCAATAAAATTGACACAAATAAGAGCAATGGGTCATATTATTCTGTGTGATTGAATCAGAAGGCAACACAGTTCCAGAGAATTGGTAATTCATTGAGTATCTTTCAGAAGATCCAATTGCCACAGATGAATTAGAAACCAAACAGCAACAAACAACAAAATTACAGAAGCTTTTTATAAAAAGTCAGGCGAACTTCTTCTCAAAAACAGATTAAGCAAGACATCTCTGGCACTTGTTAACTAGGTCAGAGTCAACTGCAATTTAGTATGTGAATTTTCATGCAATTCATCTAATGCAGTAAAAAAGTATAATTAACGATCATGTGAGTGGGTCACCATTAACCACCTGCTGAAGATACAGATTGTAACAAAGGACACAGCAGGGTGCATTACAGAAGAACTCATAAATCTTAGAAGCAGAGAATTTAAAGGCTTATCTCAGAAACCTTCCCTACCTCACCAGTACGTAGGTTGCTCTGAAAGTAATGCCTTTGATTTATTTCCATGGAAACTGCAATACATACAAAAAGCACAAAAAAACCTGATAGAGCAAATTCTCAGCTATAAAATGCATTTTTCAAGATTTTTACCAGCATTACTTATGCATTTTTATCAACAGTCAACAAGAGCTTTTATGCTGTGCTCCTAAAAATCTGCACCAGTGTAGGAACCCCGCTGTTTCTGTTGCCACTGTTGAAACACACCACTTTCCATCCATTATTTGGCCTCCAGAAACATTCAGCAAGTTACAATGAATGTCAGTGGGTCCACTTTTTTTTCCACATGGAGGAATTCAATGACACACCTTTGCAGAAAGGTGTGAAGGCAGAAAGACGCAAGAACAAAATTCATAAATGTAATAAGGAAAAAATACACTTACATTTCTGTTTTCCCCTAAATAGCTCTTTAAATTTAGAATTAGAAACTTCATGTCTGAGAAAATGTCTGTGACAGACACCTGAGAGAGGCCCATCAGAGCTTTACAAAAATAATTTTTAAAGAGTCTGGATGGATGAGATGGAATGGTGTATCAGTTTCCAGATAAGTTTATCTTCCTGATCTTTAAAATAAATAAATAAACAAATAAATACTAAATGATAAAAAAAAACAGGCAGACACCCATAACATGCAAGCTTTACAAAAACAAAAATCTAGGCAAACTGTAGCCATCAAGCAGCCATATACACATTCAACTTAATCTCACTGTACATTTTATATGTCAGAATACATTTTTCTTCTTTAGATGGCAAATCATTCATGATGACTTCCTATAGTAACTACTTACAAATTAAAAAAAAAAAAAAAAAATTGGCTATTTTGCCCAGCCCATTCTTTACATTGCACACAATGCAGTTTCTATTTGGTGCAACAGTTTTTCCATAAACTACACTGGCATAAAGCTGTTGAAATGCAGGCAGTAATCAAGATCTTAGTTTTACTGGGTGTATTATTTTGCGCATAAACATGAGGTACTTGCCTGGTTAAGCCACAGAGAACTGCTGGTTGAACTCGGTAAAGTAAATACTGCATGTTAGAAAAATGGGTCTTCTAGTACAGAGATTATTCTATAAAAGATAAGAAAGAAAAAAAATCATCCTAGACATATAGTTACAATGTAATGTTTTGTTCTATCCTCAACCTGACAATTTTACTTGGTTCAAATCTGAACAATTTCACCTCTATCTGGAGAAGTAATATCTACACAAGAATTGGCTTAAAGTAACAAAGAAAACTTTTAACAAGTGTCTTCCAAGAAATACTGGTGTTTTGACTATACTTGGAAGACAGGCAGAGCACTGAACTAGATATTTCGCTCAATGATGCAATCAACAGAAGGAAGCCAGATGCTTTGTAGTACTTCCAGGACTATTATCTATAGGGAATTTTGCTATTTTATTATTAAAAAAATAAAAAATATCAAACACATAGCCAGTATTGCTTCTTGTAGCAAATACATAACCTAGAATTTTCAAGAACGTTATTTTTTTTTTTAAAAAATGAGAGCTTAAAACACATTCACACAGTTTAGCTTAAAAAGCATAGCCTTTGTTCATATAAAACAGGCTGGGCTACTGTATTCTTACTACTTCTAAATAATAGCAGGTCACAATAGCAGGAAGAATGATAAAGAGTTTTTCAGGTATGGATTAGGAATAAAGCGTGCAATCTTGCATGTTGAAGAACAACTCCTACATATTAAAACAAGAAACACGAAGTTCAATTGTATGTTCTTACGTGTGTGTGTTGAAGATTATCACTGTAAACATGAAAACTGTGGATGTACTTTGCAGCTGGCTGAATATACCTCCAGTTTTAAAATGTCATAGGGGTTCGTTTTTCTTTAGTCTTCAGCCATCTTTTAAAGAGACCAAAGCCAAATCATTGGCATTTTAAATTGGTCTAAGATGCCATCAGCGTATAGAGATAAAAGCTTCCACTATGTTTCTGACTACTGCACTATTTCCGATTTCTAGGCAGTAGAAAAACTCTCTTCTTTACAATTATACAATTTACTTTTGTTTTTCCTCTTTTGAAAACTTACCATTACTTGCTATAAACCATTAACATAGGCTACCTAGCACACACATCTGGGTGAGAGAAGCTTACATTGGTGTCCCTGTTGTGCTGAATTGACCGAAAACAACATTGAAAGTGACATCCAGGATCTCTTCAGGTACTGCTATTTACTTCTAAAATATAGATTCCATTAGATAGAATAACACTTTCATTCCAGGCAGAATGAAATCTTAAAACTGATGACATGAAGATAAGAAACAATAACTGCAATGTCACTTTCAAGTGCCATTCTGCAAATAAAGTCATAATATCTGCAGACGAGATAGGGCTTTCGTGTAGGCTACAAGGGAATTCAGAATTTGAGCTACAGTTTGCAAATTGAACTGGCTGTAGTCTTCTCTTAACAAGTCAAAGCATGCTGACTGAGCCACCTAACCTACCTAATTGAATACACTCAAAGCAAGGTAATAGCTCTTGCTGAACTCGAGTTATGATTCTGACCATCACTGCTGTTACATCATTTCTGTACTCTGTGGTGTTTATGCTTATTATCTATACTGGCTATCCAAATAGTGCTTTTCCCTCTAAATAACAGCTAAAGATACGGAGTTATGACTAGCACATATCTCCATGGGGACTAGATACCATACCACTCAATTTTAAGTGTGATATAATGGAAAATGGAGCAGGGATTTCAAATGGCCTTTAGCTGTTAACTTCAAAAAGCAGCTTTAAAAATACTGTGTTTGTTATTGTAATTTCTAATACTGTCCAAAAGGATAACTCGTGGGACTGCAAGAGCTCACTGGCTTCACTGGCATCCTTCAGAGAAGGATGTATACATCCTACTCTGAAGTCAAACAGGAACCTTTCAAGAGTGCACAGTTGAGAGAAGAATTACCTAATGAAGTGCTCTTACCTGAGCACATCCAGTGCTCAGACAGTGCTTCCTTGCAAACATAAAAAGCAGTTTTTAATGTGAAACCTGTTTTTGTTTGAAACTATGAAATGTTTATGGGAAATTCTGCCTGTAGGCTCTGAGACATGCACATGCATAAATGCACAAAGTATTGTTCTCATTTACATCATTGTGATCTCCAGGCGAAAAAAGGTCTGAAAAACAAATTTGTTCTTACAAAGGGGATGAAATGAAATTATCAGGTTAGAACATCTTACTAACTCTGACAACCAAAGGTGCTTGCTGAAGTACACTTTGTTGAAACCTAGTCTGTTGACAGACTCTTCAAGAAACAAGATACAGAAGTCAAAAGCACGTGTTTAAAAGTCAGTATTGCAGAACAATGCACTGAACTTGGTTAAGCAATGAAAAAAAAAACGGGGGCATTGTATAATGACAATCCTTTGGGGAACCAGAGATAAAGGACAATGGTGAAGTGATTATATTACAGACACTGTAACCTCCACGGTAGTTTGATGATAAGTTCAGTTATTGTTGCATAGTAATTCCACAGCATATGAAGATATTCAGTAAGAATTGAAGTGAAAATCTCAACTAAAATTTCAGTGGCTCTTTCAACTTACAGTGATTTTCTAAAGAATATCTTAGAGGCAGCAAGAACTTACTAAGAAAGAAAAACCAAGCAGATCACTGGATCAGAGCAATAAGGTCAGATTGCTCTGGTCACTTTAAGGTGACTTTAAGGTGACTTTAAGGTCACTTTGGATAAATAGGCTGAGACTGAGATTGATATCAAGAATGAGAAAGAACATATGCATTCTTAGGTTAATAATTGTAAGATTATTTCATTAGCTGATGCTTGGATAATTGCTAGCATTCCCTGAAGAGAAATATTGCATGATGGAAGAAATTTTTCTAGCCCTGAATATACGTTCTCTTTCTTGGTCTTGAGACCAAGAAATCATTTGTGCAAAATGTGAACAACATCCTCATGACCACATAAAGGCAAAATGAATAAGGGGACCACTACCTAAATGACCAGAAAGAGTTCTAAAAAACTCCCATACAACCCTATGTAAGTGCAGATGGCAGAGGAAAGTAGCCAAAAGGGGGATAGAGTATCATGCTTGCACATGAAGATGTATGTAATAGGCATTTCTTTTGTATTTGCAAGGTGAAATAATGTAGCTCTGCACATAAAAAAAATTGCATGAGCTGAAAGAGGTGTGCTAAATTTGTGGAAATATTCCTCCTGGTACTCTGCCCAGAAAATAAACCAGGTCTCCTCCTCTCAATATGCTTTGTGAGTATGTTTTAGGAGTGCATAATTGCTACATTTTCAAGTAAAACAAGATAAGAAACCTTAAGTTTGGAATCTCGGACTGAGAGTACTGAGGACCAGGGGAAAAAAGACAGAAAATTAGAAGCAGAGACAGTTTCTAGGGCACAGTGTGGTATTTGAGTACCAAGAGGTAAAGACTCACCAGCAAACTGAGCTCACTGTCCATTCACGTCTGACACTGGAGGAGTGCCTCAAAATCCACAGAGCCCTTTGACAACAGTACTCAAAAAACTCAGCATCAGTGTTTCTATGCCCATTTATTACTACAGATATTGGCCAGTTAGCAGTGCCCTTTATTCTTTTACCTCAGTGAAAGGACAGAAGGATGTAGCTGACTCAAAACTTGCAGATATTCTATATACCTGGCAGTAGAAGTAGTTTTACTGTTCGCTCTTCTAATGTCTAGCAAATTTCACATTGGATGTATAAACAAGCTATTAAGGCTGTGTTATCAGAAGTTGGAACACATCATAACTACGAATGTTCGTTGCTGCTCAGACTACATGATGATATATTATTTTTGCAGTATTATCCATCTCATTGAGTGTTAGAACAGTCCACCTGGGCAATTTCTGTCAGGTGGAAGGGAGTTGTCTATAAAGACCCAGTTTCACATGCAGCAGAGCTAAAAGCTATGTAGCACATATGAAAGGAAACT